CACAGTGCTCACAGGTCGGTGACGAAAACACGTGCTGTAGATGACCTCTTGTGGACGACCGTCTTGGAGTGAAAGAAGCCCTCCGAGAGAGACGAAAACACGAAAACAGGTCGGTGACGAAAACACGAAAACCCAGTTCGAATTCGGATGCATCCGAGTCACAACCGTTACTGTCTAAGAAGGACAAGAAAACTGGAGTTCGGTTTCGTACGGGCCGAAAGGGGGTGGTCCACACTGCTTTGGAGCTCGGATTCATCCGAAATACAACGGCGGACTTTACAATCCACTTGTCGACTTCGAGTGACAACGTATTCGTCTTCGTCTGCCGTATCAGCGTTCTAGGGCCTTCTTGCGAGGTTTTGCTTTTCCCGGTGCAGGTGCCTATGCGACATCGGTTTTTCGACTGCGCCTGCTTCGGATGTATCCGATCTATCCCGCGGTCTTCGTTTTCGAGCATTCATTCTCTTAAGGGCAGTGTGACAAGGATGCCTCACGATGCCTCGGATTCATCTGAAACGTGCAGGCTTGTGGACCACTATCGTCTAACTATGACTGAACTTCGTTCTTTTGGAGTCCGGGTGACCGATAACAAAATACGTGTTGTGCGTCGTGGTTGATGTTGGGACGTGCTGACTGTTCTGAGTGAATGTGGGTTCATTTCCTCCGTGTGTTTCAGGGAATGGCTTCACACGGACGAGGCCGCTCCGCTGGTGGTTCCGCCCCGCATGGAAAGGAGCGTCGAGGGATGACATCGTCGCCAGCAAGGGAAACGAGTCGGCGAGTTGGAGGTGGGGAGGAAGAACGAAGTGCTCAAAACTTGTGGTGAGACTAGAGCAAACGTGTCTGGTATTTGGACTGGGCGAGCCACGATGGCTCCGACTCTTTGCAACCACCGTGCGGGCCGCTCTTGTTCGTCGTCGTTCGCGCCGACAGAACGCGTCTCGCAGGGTCCATCGTCCAGTGGGTCGACGATGGCGAATACAATTTCAAGTTGACGTTGAAGAAGCATTACAGAAGTGATGGTTCTGTCGACGGCATCGCAAAGGGATGCAAGGTTGTCGGGAGGATGTTCGGTGGGTACGGCCGTCGTGCAATGTCTTTGCCTCACTTTGTCCCGCTAGCGTCGGGGCACGACGAGGCCGTTCACGTAACAGACTTCCTCGAGGTCTGGGCGAAATCTGGTACCTCTGTCAGTGCCGTGGACGTCGGACCTGGAACATCGATCAGTGGTCCTGTTGGGTTCGCGGGAGGAGAGTGCTCGGAAGGGGGGATGGGAGATCAGGGTGGCCTGCCAGCTACGCCTCCTGATCAAAAGGTGGGCATGTCAGACGACTCAGAGGACAACCATCCACGTGCTCCTTTGAAACCGGGCTTGCATGTATCTCGCCGCCACGGTTTGCTTGGGGAGTCGACGCCACATGGAGTTGGCGATAGCGAACGGTTGCGACAGGGCTCAGAATCGACGACTGCTCGTGGTCTGGTCGAAAGGATCGGTTCGTTCGTTCGTGGCATGCAGGTGGCCGAGCTTTCCCCTGGAGATCGAGTGGGTGGTCCGCAGGTTCGAGAGGTGCGTGGGTCAAATGAGACGACTCGCCAGGCCCGACCAGCGGTGGTGCAACTGCAGACGGAGTTGAGCGAGGAACGAGAAGCAAGTGGGAACGTCGCCGGTGAGGAGGAGGTGTCCGAGCAGGGGCTGTTCCGTGCGAGATCGGCTGAAAAGACTCAGTCGGGAGGAAAGCGCAACTTGCCAGATGAGGAAGAGCGAGAGGGAGTAGGTGCTCTGAAAAGGCAGAGAAAGGTAAAAGGGAGTGTTTGGACGCCAACAATACGAGAGGGCGGTTCCGTTGAGAAGAGGAAAAGGGTTGAAGGTGGGGATGAAAGGCCAAGAGACTCGTCGACACAGCAAAGAACCGGTGAGTCTTCCGGGAAACAGTCGAAATCATCGAGGGGGAAGAAAGCAGACGAGGGCGACAGCGGGGAGGGGGATGACAACGTGCAGATTAACCTCAATGCCTTTAACCTCGACAATGCGTTCTTCCTCGAGATGCAGAGAGGGGTGCAGAAGGACATCGTGTTGCACATCCATCCCGAAAGAATATTAGCTATTCCAGACTGGGAAGACGCGTACAACCACGGATCCTTGGACGAGTTCCTCGTTGATACCATCGCGTCGGCTATGATCGACTGCTATGAACGCAAAGACATGAGATACACGAAGCCCATTTTTGTTCTCGCTCCGATCGTCGCGCCTCCAGAGAACGGCGAGCCTGTTGTGCGCGTGCTGCCTGCTGACTTCGACAGCTCACACCCGGAGAAATACTGGTTTTATCCTGTGTGTAGACAGCATAATGCGAGGGCGGTGATGATGGTGAAAGACCATCTCGTGTTTGATTACTACAACTTCTGTAAATAGCCGTTCAGACAGATCTACTTCCCTGACGACGAGTTCGATGGCTACGCCCATGTCAGCTGCGAAGACAACATAAAAGACAAGAAGAATCCACCGCGCTTGCAGGTTTTGTCTATGTGGGACATTCGCAGTATCTAGAAAATTAAGGGCAAACGGCGTGTGGTGCTCGGCAATGCCTCGAAGAAACAGGACGAGGTGCGAAAGTGGGTGCGGTTCATGGCGTTGGCAATGAAGAAGACATCGTACACGCCTATCTGGAACCTGTCAACGGAAGCAAAAAAAAGAAAGGAATGGGTTGAGAAACTTCGATACTACCTCCCGCTGGCCATGGCAGATGACTCCGTCTTCGCTTTGGGGTTGAAGTTCTATGAGGAGTGGTCGAAAGGGAAACTCCTTGCTTCGGACGGGCGGCGTTGGGCTGAAAAGCCGCCCACCCATGAGGAGGTGGCCAAGCCAGGACTCTTCACTGCGACTGACAGCCAGGGGCTGAAGAAACACGTCTGGTACGTGAAGGTGGACGACCCGTCGTTGAAAAAGAGCAGGGGGAAGCCAAAGAAAGGCGCGGAGGAGAAAACTTTCTACGTCCAAGTTCCGGAGCCAGATGTCCACTGCCGGAAGGAATTGGTGGACTTGACGAACCGCGACAAGAAAAGGTTGTTGAACGGCGTCTTGAACCTTAACGTCGTGTGGGTTCAAACGAGTAGCAAGAAGTTGGCCGAGCAGGGGAAGTTCAGTATCAAGGAGATGGTCGACATAATAAAAATGGACCGGATTRTGCTGAGGCTGTGGCACTACGTGGRGTTYGAGTACGAGGAAATGGATAAGCGGRAGTGGAATGCCAACTCCACGTTCTTCAGGTCCAAGAAGCAACTGTTCGAAGAGTTCAAGGACAGAGGTCTCGACGACAAGCTTTGGAACGAGAGCAGGAAATTTTTCACGGACACCACATACGTCAACAAGTGCCCTCAGTTTCTCGGGTGTCAACACGACAACAACATCAAGAGAACGGCGACCCTCGTCAACGACCAGCATTTTCCGGCGGAGTGGAAGCGTGTCGTCCTTTTGGTGATCATTGGAGGTCGCGCCAAAGGCAAAAAAAGCCATCGGGGCGTTGATGAATGCATCAACATTATGTGGACAAGGATAAGCGCCTTGACGTTGCTGGCCCAGTTAAACGTGGACCCATTGAGTGCCATAGATCATAAGGAGGCGTTGGGAAAACTAGGGCATCTGCTACGCTCCCACACTTGCGTGCTCGACTTATGCAGTACTGTGGACCGTGCGCAGTGGGACTCTGGGGCATTCGCGTCTCTGAGTGAGTTGCAAGGCTTCGTTTGTCAGGACTACTGGACATTGGTGGTATTCGTCCCCTGCCTGTGGAACCTCTCCTTCATGACATGTTTGTCTGCGCTTGGGGCTACCCGATGCTACATGGGAAAGTGGGTTCAAAAGACGGCATCGAAGAAGACGCATCAGTTCGGAAACAGCGTCTGGGAGGAGCCGGATGTGATGCACATCCTTTTCAAAGGCGAGGATCCTCGGCTACTGACTCACCCGGTGTATGAGGGAGCTGTTGCTGAAGACGACGCCGCCGCTCTCCGGAGGAAACAGAAAGTGACACCCACGGATGTGGAGGAGAAGTCTTTCAAGTCCTTGACTTTCGCGGACATCGGAAACCTGACCCAGAGGGGGGATCTGTATAAGAACGGCGAGCGGAATCCGAATCAGTTGTGCAATCAGCTTCTTTTCTTCTGTGGTGTGGCGGATGCCGTGCTGTTCTAGGGCAAGCCGCACGCGCAGGTGGTGTGGAGTCTGCTTCAGCAGGGAAGGCACGTCTTGGCCATGGATGGGGACACAACGCAGCTCGAATACACCGTGCAGTATGTCACCCATGAAGTGTCGTCCAAGGCTTACCCATGAGATTTTCACCATGTCGTGGTCGAGCCCGTTTATGACCCGAACAAGGACATGTTCTTCAAGTTGACTTCGAAGAAAAGGCGCCAGGTCTACTCCTTCCTTTACGGCGAACAACCAAGGTTGAGATTTGACCCGAAGTACGTGGTGCGGAAGGAAGTCGCCATTGCGGTCCTCCAGGGCTACCATGGAGCGAGTCGGGCCGACGCTGTGAGCTTCATTAAGAGGCTGAAATATGTCTTTTTTAATGAGGATGTTGTCGATCCGGCCGACTTCACTTTGGATAAGTACAAGCTGGCATTCGGTGAGGAGGACGACTTCAATATCGAGACTGAGAAGAAGGAGAGCGTTGAGGACGACCTCTTCGATTTGGACGGGCAAATTGGCCATCTTCAATGCCCAAGTTTCTGAGTCGCCATCAGTATGCAAGCCGGGGACACCTCTCGCTACACCTACCTCGGGCGGTCCCACACCCGTGTCCTCCTCAGCGCCTGTCAAAAGGGGTGGGTTGTCCCGTCTGAGGAGTTCACTGAGGGAGCCTATTTGTCTCACGCCGCAGCCCGAACGTCGTCGACCCGGCCATCCAGTTCCTCCGGACCATCCCCATCTCAAGGCTCCTGCGACTCCCTTCCACATGGGCGACAAACACACCTTCTCCACAGCCGAAGATAGGGGCCATGATATCGTGTGGAACCCAGACCATTTCCAGCCAGTCCTTCTCGACGGCGAATGGGCAGTGGTTGTGAGAGACGTAAGTGGAGGGTGGATATATGACGATCGTTGGGACCTCGAGACATCCGAATCTCGCGCCTACGATGCGGTATTGGAGAGATTAAGTGAGGTCAATCGACGAAGTAAGGACAACCCTGCTCTTTGCGAATACGAGGAAACGTTGTTCGAGTTATTGTAGTCAGATAAATGGCTAGAAGTGCCTCCTCGTTCTACGCCCTTCCGTCAAGCTCGTCAATTAAGCAAGTGAGTTGGGAGTTGCCTGAGGTCACCCCGCCGGCAGGAGTTGTGAAGCGCAAGTCTCGCGGAAAGGACGGCGACGGGGATCGTGAAGGCGGCGGGCAACAAGGTACCGGAGGTGGAAGTGAACAGCGTTCGATGAAACAGCGGTCTCCGGGGCACGCAGGCGGCGGAGAGGGGAAGAAGGGCAGCCGGGAGAAGAAAAAGCCTCGCAGCGGAGAGAAGACGAAGCATCACAGAGGAGACGGGCAGGGGTCCAATGTCGACCGCGACGAGGACAATGTGGTTCTGGCGGTAACAAGCAGGACCTCAATGGAGATGGGGAATGACTTGAGGCCTGGGTGTATTATGTGGCCCGGCTAGCAGGACCCTGTGATTAGCTCCACCAGCGAAACACAGTTTGTCGATGCGGTTGGTGGGGCGGGTGTCGCAAAGCATGGAACATGCTTCGCTCAGCTCCAAAAACGTTTGGCGGATTGTCTCGGATCAATCCGAACCTCAGGGACGACGTCGTTGTCCGAAACTCAGTGCCTTCCGGGAAGCGAGACGATAACATACTACGGGTGCGGCAGCGACAAGCTGGAACCGTGTTCCGTTTCGCCTCAAAAGGAAGTTCGGATTAATCCAAACCGTGAAGGCCGTGCCATCGAGGGAGCACAACTGTTTACAGAACTCGAACGGGTGGTCCGGGTTTCCGAAAACCCTGGCGACGAAATTCGGATTCATCCGAACCAGGAAGCCGTGTCTGCCATGACAGACGATCGGTGTCAGGATGCAGTAATGCTGTGTGTGGAAGCCCACAAGGAGCTGCAGGCGGACTGTCTGACTGAGGGTGAGTTAACGACCAATTCCAATGTCGATCCCAACACACTCGGAGCCGAGTTAGCAGTCGTAAGCGACTCCCCGGTGAAAGCGGTCATGTCGGCGTCATTGGAAACTGCGGGGGCTCGGATGAATCCGAACCAGGGCCCTATGAACATGTCCCTCCCTGATGCATCTTTGGAGACGACCGTGATTCGGATTTATCCGAGGCACACGGACGAACGACTTCAACTGGTAGGCGTTGAAGGTTGTCGACTACAGACGACTTTGGACAAGGACAATTCCGCCGATGACCGGATTGATCCGACACTCAACGACCTCGGGATGGAGCTACCAGTTCAGCCGGGATACGACGATCCCTTGTACTCCGCCCTTCACAACGAGGCGATGGGGGAGGACATTCTGAAGAAGGCCTCTAACGCTGTTGGAGATAGATTTCACTATTTGAGTGACGACGACAAAGATACAGCGTATGAGGACAAGAAGTTAAGGGGGGTAGAGGTGTTGTTGGACATCCATGGGACATTGAGCCCAACACAATACGACACAGTGGCAATGGAGAAAACACAACCTGTCGATGTTGTGGACGTCGACGCTCTATGTCCGGAGACGAACATACCGTCTACGGTCATCGACGCCGATATCTCGAGCCTGTCAAGTTTCCCTGTGGGTTTGGAGCACGTCGTCGCCGCGTCGACGCGCGCAGGGGTGCCAATCATGCTGGGACTGCCATCGGTGGGCTCTGGTGAAGTGGTAGCTAGGCCTGGTAAGCAATGACTTTCTCTGCTTTCTTCCCGCTCGTCAGCCTGTTCGTGAAGTGTGATTTGCTTCGTCGATTTCGGGGAGGTGTATAGGCGGCCGCCAACTGGATTGTGCCGATGTGCTTTGTGAGGTGCTATTTGCTTGGTTGCTCTTGCGAACTTGTGTTGTTGATCTCCTGCTGAACTCTCTGGGTGGCTATTTCTTGTACAGGTCGACGAACTCGTGGACAAACACCCATGTCGCAGGAGCCGCCTGCCCTCGCCAAGTTGTCAGTCCTGGTTGCGGGAGGCACTGGTCATCACAATGTCACTGATGCGTTTCCTGGGGACACTAAGCCTCGAGGCCCTCCCAGAAGGGTAGTCGTGCCCGTATTGGGCTCCCGCGCAAGACTCGTTAGAGGCAGCGGGTGTTGCCGAAAAAGACTGCAAGGAATTCCTTCTCGAGGCTTGCAGGGATAAAAAGGACAGTGCAAGTTTAGAATCAACTGTGTGTAGAAGGTCCAGAAGTAGGGGTGACGTTATGGGTGAATTTTTCGGACCACAAAGTAGCGGTTCCTCGGACCATGACCGCTAGGACGGCATTTTCTCATAGTGCCCCGTCCTTTGTGCTTGCTGTGTGTTGCGGGTGTTTGTTGAACAGGGTTTCCTCGAGATGGAAGAGCGGTCCTTGAAGACGTTATCTGCTCCCGGTTGCCACTCACTATCACCATCGCGCGTTTGTCATCGCACAGTTTACTGGTATCCGTCAAGGACATCGTCGCACTCGTGGATAGATCCGGGGAGCTCAACGATGAGGTTGTCAATTTCTACATGGCGATGCTACTGGACGACTTTGGCCGGACTGCTGCTACCATGAAGACATACACCTTTAACTCCATCTTCGCCTCTTCACTGCTTCTGCGAGGTCCGGCAGCTGTTCTCAGATGGGCTAAAGATGTCGACCTCCTGTCTCATGACCTCGTCTTGGCACCAGTGCACAAGGACGGTGAACACAGGAGCCTTTTGGCCATTGACTTCTCTGGACGTGTTTTGGAAATCTATGATTCTTTCTCGTGTTCGTCATCCAAAGATTCCTTCTACTCCGCACTTCTGGATAAAACTGTTGAATTTTTGAATACGGTGGCAGGTGCCGCCGGTGATGGTCGCACTTTCGACCACTTCGCTCGCGAGGTCAGCGTGAAAGGTGTCCCTCGGCAGCACGACGGGGCTAG